GGCTGGCCTTGTGGTCCCCAGCCCAGCCTCAGCAGGAGGCAAACGCAAGGTGCGGAAGAAGGGGCACTGGGGAAAGCTGCCAGAGCCGCAGCCTGGCGCGTGGCTAACGGAAACAGCTCGACACGAGCCCGGGTGCCTTCTCCTGCCTGGGCGTGCAGCCACCCGAGTGAGAAGAGTAGCTGGGCAAAGCCACAGAAAGCTTTTTTTTTCCCCCTACTGGGTTTATTTATCATACTCGGAGGAACACAAGCAAAGTGCAGAAAAAACACCTTACCAGGTTGTGCTTGTGCAGGCAGGCGATGCTCATGTGGGTGAGCGTGGGCTCTGCCTCGCTCAGGTCTGTAGCCCTGACAAGAAGCAAGGAAAATCCAGTTGGAATTGCCGTTAACCTCGGTCAGAACCGGCTTTCTGCTGCCCAGCTCAGACCTGCCCCTTACCTGATGCTCCGGCCCTTCTGCAGCAACGTCCAGATGCCGTTAGGGCCTCTGTAGTCTGGGATTGAAGCTGCCTGCGTTTTCGGGAGAGAGAAGCCAAGGCCTGACGGGAAGGTTCGGACCTCTTGTCCACAAACACCAACCTGCTCTCACCGGGACAACCGGACACCCCTCCTTCACGGGCGCGTTTTCCTTCGCTCCCAGTTCTCGCCCAGTGGTTCCCTCACCGCAGGAACACCTCACTTCCCTGTTTTCTCTCTCTCTAGCCCCTCTCCTCCTTCCCTCACAGCTCTCGTTTTCACCTCCAGGATTTATTTTTTCCAACGTTACCATTATGGAACTCCTCTAGAACGCTTTCTGGGCCTCAGTACTTCCCTCTTCCCCACACGGATCTCAGTTCTTCACCTCTCCTCACTCTCACCGGACCGGTGAGCCCAGACCTCAGCATTCTTTAGTAAAACCCGTGTGCCCTCAGCACTCATTCTCCCTGCCCGGAATCATCTCCCCAGCAGCGGAGACTGCAGAAAGGGGGGCAGAAAAAAGAGGTTTCCGTCTCAGAGTTCAGAGGTGACGTATGACACGTTTCCAGAACCAGATTTCCAGTCTCCCAGAGACCACCAAAACCAACCCCTTCTCAACCCATCGTTTGTAAATTCTGACAACCGCCAGCGATTCTCGCTCGTCCCTTAGCACCAACGGCAGGAATTAGCTGGCTTGGTTCTAGGTTTTACACCACAAGTGGCTGAAGAGGCTCGACGGAGGCAAGAGTAGCGATCTGCCCGTCTGAGCAGCACGCTCCTCCCACGGAGACAGAGGTGACGCAGCCGCGGGTCCTCTCGGGCGGCAGGCACGACCCCGAGATGCAGCCTGGGAAACACCCCGGCTGGCGGCGCAGCAGCGTTAACACGGCGTCCCAGCCTTGCAACGCACGTTACAGTCGTTTGGAAACCACAAGAATGGTCTGAAGAACACTGCAATGGCCCTGAAGGAGCTCCCGAGGCTCCAGCCACTCCCCTCCAAGGAATCCTACCGTACTGATCCCGGCTCCCGTGTAGATGACGAGGTGCTTGGCATTGCGGATGGCAGCAGCCAGCTCGGTAGCCTTTCTCTGCAGCTCCTCCGGTTCGTCACACACCTAGGGAACACAACCGAGTGAGCTGATGTCCTTCCGAGACAGAGCGCGCTGCTGGATGGGCAGGAACAGGGCGCTCCCTGGAAGCTGTACTACGGGCCAGAAAAGCACAGACGTTGTCAGGAGTGGGAAAGAGCACGGGTGTTGCCCATGGAAGGCCAAGGGAAAAAGGTGCTGGACAGCAGTGCACGCAGGCCCATCCCCCAGCCGCGTGCCCACGCAGCACCTGGGCAACACGCGTGTCCGGCAGCCGCTGCAGGTCGGCTGAGGTGGGGACAAGCTGGGGGCAGACGCGGGTGGCACAACCGCGGGGGCTGAGCCGTTCCCGGTAAGGAGGCACAGCAGAATCGCACCAATCCGCACAATTACAGGCTGGGTGGAGAG